TTTTTTTTTTTACGTGGAGAAAATCTTCATAAGACACCTGAAGTCTTTTAAGGGAAAACCCAGCTAGTGTCGGATTCTTACCAACTAAAACACCTCCAACCATGATGGCCGTCGTCCTCTGCACGTTCGGAGAGCTCCAGGGGACCTTTTTATACACACAAAAAAATTCTCCTAAAAGACAATGTTTTTTTTTTTTTTTTCGCCCAAAGGGGGCTCGAACCCTGGACCGTCAGATTAAGAGTCTGATGCTCTACCGACTGAGCTATCCCAACTTACTTACCTTTAATATAACATATAACATAATAACGAACAATAAAAAATATTGATTTATTTCAGGTGGGATCATAATCATGTCGAAAGAACAATGAGCGCAAGGTCGCAACGTGGGACCCATGACACGCCGACGGCCAAGCGGTTTCGTAGTCCGCGTATCACTGCGAGAAACCAGAAAGCAGGAAAACCACGCATAACATACGATTATAACGCCGCTATCAGTCAACCGGACGTACCGAATTCGCCAGATTGCAGGGAGATCGGTCGTGATACGATGGTTAGTGGAGTTCCACTTAAAAAGGAAATTCTAACGACTCACTCGAGAGGACGAGTTATATCAAGGAGGAATTTTCAGAAAAGATCTCAGGAAATGAAGGCGAGGTCGGTGATTCAGAAAAACACGAGAACACGATCGCCCAAAAGAGGTAATTGGAAAACGATCGTCTCATCTGATATCATTGAGACAGAAAATCGCGTCGGTAAAGAAGAGAATATTACCAACATTCAACATCTGTCAAACATGTCGAGGGTTTGTATATTTTCCTCCACCCTTGTTTGTTCGGAATTTTGCTCTGCTGGACAAGAATATCATCTTACTTGATATTGTGGTGGTGACATAGAAAATTCGTTACATTCAGAAAGAATGTGTTCACTCGGTAGTGAATGGCAAAAACATTTCATTCAAGGATAGTGAAGAGGCGATTGAGAATGACGATGATGACAGTCAAATGGCACAGGAGAAGATGAAAAACGAGAAAAAGTCGGATGATTATGAAAGTGCTGCAACGAAATCACCAGTTAGTCGAGTCAAGGGCAGTAAAATTCCACGCGCGAGGATCACCGTTTTCCCAGTTCATGCGTTCTATTCGGTAATATAATTTATGAAACGATCGTAAATCAAATTGAACTAGCGATTAAAGAACGACGAATTACTTGTACGATAGACGAAGAAAATAAAAACGAAGGAATCTCCTCACTTGAAATACTCTCCTACTGACAAGTTAGTTGCAAAAATATGATAGAAAATAATTATATATTAATATTGATAAACGTTTATTATAATAATTAAATGTGAAATTAAAGCATAGGGATCTTGGAAAGTGAAATAAAAAAAGGATCGTCTAGTAGCAAAGAAGAACAAAGTACCTGCAGACAAGCTGTGGTACCTTTCGACGAATTGCAAAACGATACAAAGTACACGCGATAATTGTAGAAATGCATGTTAAAGGAGAAGTACTAATCGACTCAGAAACCATTTGCATTTTATCCAGAATAGTTTGGAACAAAGAGGAAACTTCGACGTTAGAGGCAGATGAAGAAGCGGAGGATCGTGGATTGACATCGGCCGACGAATCTCCGGCTGTTATTAGCAGCATCGATGATCCTCATGTTTTGACAGTCTTGCGAAGTTTAAAATTGAACTGCCCCTGCAAATCGTGCACCGAACACAATCTAGTATCCAGCAATCGACAGGAAGACAATAGCGATTTAAAAAGCTCGTCATCTCCAGAAGAGATCGGAAACAAAAAATGGTTAAAATGATATATGATTTGGAACTATCTGTTTGAAATTCTAAGTGTAATGATTATGATAATGATCGCATCAAAACAGGTCGCTGAGATATCGAAAGTATATTGAGACAACCTCAGAGGATGTGGATGTTTCGTCTGATTACAGTGACGAATATAGCAAAAAGGAAAGGACGAATCGACACAAAGCAAAGTATACTTTGACTCGACGTATCAAAACGAGTTCAATAGTACACGCACCACCAAAGATTACGAACCGCCGACGAACTAGTTTCTCCTTTTTTAACACTCTTTTTGATATTGTTTTCTGGCCTTATTTATTTTTGAAAACAAATCGATGATAGCGAATTTTCTTCTTCGTTTTCTAGAAAAATCATATCTAACAAGGGAAAATGTTGTTTTCGATTGATCGATGAATGACATGTCATTTCTTTTAATATCTGTTTTGAAGCACATGAAACGAAGAGAATTTTAATTTAAAATATCATACTTAATGTGTTATATATGCATTATTTTTTATGAGCGTTATACAGAAAATTATACGATCTTATTAATTAATAATATATATTTCATTCTTCAGATAATGTTTACAGAAAGTATTTAATCTGAAATATGTATGTATATACTTTTCTAATTATGTAGTAAAAATACAAATCAAAGTACACGAAATTCTTCTAGTCTCGCCACAGATGTCAATTATTTACAACGATTTTTTATGATAGAATACAATGGTGAAATACAGCAAAATAAAAGTAAAAAACGAAAGAAGTGATTAACGAAAAATACGAATGTCCTCCGCAATTTTACAACACACCGATTGCTGAAAACATCAAAAATAATATTAATGTTTCCCCATTAAATTCTTTCCCAATTGACATACCTTTCTTCGTGGGTGTTGATATACTCCTATGGAGTTTCTTCGAGAAAAACGATAAGGTCAATTTGTCGTAAAGATTGTCAATTTCATTTACAGTATTTTCCAAGATCCTCGTAAGAGCCTTCTCGTTTTGCACCAAGGCTTTATCAGCTATCAGAGACAAGTGCAAATATCCTCTATAAGTCAACAACGAACAACCAATCCCTGTATAACTTCTGAAAATGATAATAATATTATCCCGATAATTGAAAAAGTTAAAAATCTGTAATATCTCTAATCGTTGAATGATTTCTGCTGAATCACCTATTTGGTATCCAAAAGACGATATTCTTCAAAGGATGGCCCATAAGTTTCACTTCTTGAGGACCAACTAAATTGCTGAACACCATCGTGCTGTAACTGCGAAGAATCGGTCGTAGAAATTTATCGGGCAACACAGCTGAGAGGTACTTCATCACTAAGAAATTCACTCTGTAATCGGGCCTTTTTCTAAGCGCGTCACTTGCTTTTTTAATGTCGTCCAGGCGTTCGAGTATTTGAGAATTTTCTCGTGGATCGGCGAGCTGTTTATCATTTATCTGCGATACACAGAGCGGCAATATGCCGACTGAAAAGTTATTCTGAAGCGAAAGGTTCTCGCTCCATTCCTCGATTTTCATCGGCAGCACGACGCTTATTCTCGTTGGGACCGGCTCGTTCGTCTGTGAAAATACAAAGTAACTAAAAACGAAATCGCAAAGGCAAAACTCAACGGGAAATACATGATCACTCACACGAAGAAAGTACTTGTGTAAACTAGCGGACAAAGCGGCCAGAACTACGTCCCCAAACCTGGCGCCTGTGATGCTTCTAATGTTCTGAATCTTAGTAAATAGCTTCTGACCGCTGGTGTTTTTGAAATCGTCTTCAAGCCAGTAAGAAACCAACTTTTCACCTGACAGTTCCGCTCCGTGCAGTGCGCTGCCAATAAAAAAAAAAAATCATGTAGTCAACGTATTTGAAAAGAAATTAAGGCAACAAACCTTTTGTCCATGCTACGAAAAGCTTGTTGAATCAAACAACCGGGTGTGTCTATGATAATCTTCGCTATTTTTAAATAATTCTGCAGCTTCTTCCAAACAATCCCCGAGAGGAAACTATTGATTCTGTCTCGTTCTATGGCCAAAAATATTTTCGCCTCTTGTCTCAAATCTTCCATGCTAACATTTCTCAGAAACTTCAGTGCCTCGTTGAAGTGGCCTCTTACCAACTTAACGAAATGCGAAAACACCGTTGGATGAATGAACGGCATTGTCGCTGACACGACATCCTTTCCGAATGGATTATTATTATCTATGAGGCTGTTATTCCTGTTCAAGCAAAGGTTCACAGGGCTTATCAAAGACACTGTCGCGTGCAGTTTCTTCGTTCTGTCGCTCTTTAGTCTGAAGCTTGTATGCTCCAGCTGCAACGTCGTCTCTGGTACCGGCTCTTTGTCGATGATAACGTCCCTGAAGAACTTGAGGAGAGCCATACCGTCGCCTAAAGAGTGATGGACACGGAATAGAATGGGGATCCTGATTTTACTCGTCAAACGTTCCTCCATTCGCCGAAGATAATGATGGCTCGACCTGGGGCAGCATTTGCCGATCAAAATTTCCCAAGAGGCCGCGTGATCCTCCGGCAGTGGTTGATTACAAACGTTCCACAGGATCCTCTTCAGGTGGCCGTTGTAAATATTGTCGCAGCACCCATCGCAGTTCCCGCGCTCATACTCCAACCATCTGACACGCTCCTTCAGATCGATCTGCTCGCTCCTCTCCCAGAAATAATAGCCGAACTTCCTTCTCCTCTTGCATAGCAGCTTGCCAAACGGCGAGCACACTATACGACTCTTCGTCAAGTCGCGGAAACTGTCCAGGAAATTGGCGTTCGAATGGCGAGCGTCCTTCTCTAAAATCATGAGGATATTATTTACAGAGAGTGACGTCGGTTGTTCCACAGCCCAAACGCAGTCCGTCCCGTCGAGCAGGCCAGCGAATTTCTCCTTCAGTTGTATCCTTAAAACCATCTCCACGACCCGACGACAGACGTACGAGCATGTTAATAGCAAGACAATCAACGGAGAGAAAAGAAAAGTGTAGAACGCGAGCAATGCTTGGTATACTTTCAACATGATGGTTTA